ATAACCCCAAACATCAGAATGCTACGTTCACAACTTAGTTATTTCCCAAAGGTCCCCCTTCACATACTACCACATTAGAAAGGATTTAAATTATGATTCTGGAGAGGGACTCAGACTTTCATTTTTATAGCAACATCCAAAAGTGGAGGAACAAATTACTTAAGATTTGATAAAACAAATGTTTGCTATTATTTGGTGAATAATACTGTGTTTAAGAAGACTGACAAGTACAAGAAATATAATAAATTTGAATATAAGAACTATGTAAGAGGTATAAAAATCTTGATATGAGGTTGCTCATTTAGTGTTATTTGCTAGTGAAAAGCATCCATTGCCCCATATCCTTAGCCCCACGTGAATCCAGAACAATAAGTTTCTTCAATCATATGCTTCTAACCATATTAGAGGCAGTTAATATTTTATTTCAAGACTGTTTTCTGAGAGAGAGGGAGGATTTCATGAACAATGTTTCTGTCAAATAAAGCAATATAGTCTGATAAAAAACAAAACAAAACAAAACAAAAAACTGGCAATCAGTGTTAGTGATGTCCTGATGGCTTAGAGGGTAAAGAATTATCTTGCAAAGCTGGAGGCACAGGAACCACAGGTTCGATCCCTGGATCAGTAAGATCCTCTGGAGAAGGAAATTGTGACCACTCCAGTATTCTTGCCTGCAAAATTCCATGGGCAGAAGAGCCTGCTGAGCTACAGTCTATGAGGTCACAAAGAGTCGGACATGACTGACAAACTAAGCACGTACATGTTGGTCTCATAAATGATTTGGCTGTGTGTGTTAGTCGCTCGGTCATGTCTGACTCTTTGTGACCCATGGACTGTAGCCTGCCATGCCCCAGATGTCTCTGTCCATGTGATTCTCCAGGTAAGAATACTGGAGGGGGATGCCAAATCTGTGTTCCATTAGAGCAATAAGAACGGCATACATCGTCAGAATCTTTCTTAAAAATGATATCACTTGAAACGTCTGCTATCAAGTTCCATAGTGCATGTTTGAAGCTAATGTATGATGAATCATGCTAAATTTATACATAAAAACCAGAGCCTGCATCTCTATAGAGGTTATGAAACATTATAAACAAAGAGATGGGGATATTGAAAAATAGTGGAAGTTTTACCAGATATTCTAGAGTATCAGGGAAGGTGAAATAATCATCTTTATGAAAATTTAACTCCTAACAAAGCTAGTAAACTTCAGGAGATATGATTGCCCAATTGGAAAATAAGTAAGATTTGGTTATTTTTCTGCATTTACACCATGTTTATTCAGATTATTTTTAGAGCCTCTTTATGATAAGTATTACAACTCGGAAATATTCTTTGACCTTAATATTTTAAGCAACATAAACAAAATAGTATTTGAAGAGTATCTTACAGATGCAAGAGTAACCCATGTGCCTAAATATTAATATGTGCTGTCTTTGTGTGTAGAGCAGTGAACCAAGATTTTATGTCATATTTCTTACATTATTTTTTGAAATCTGCAATGAGCCCTGTTAATCTTAAAAGGTCACTTTTTAAAGAAAGAAACATGATAAAATCTTCCACTAATTAAATAAATTTAAAATATTAACTATAGCTTAATTCATCATATAGAAAATAAATCTGTAGTCTCAATAGAGACATTTTACAACCATAAACTATTCATATTTTCTGAAGAAATTGTGGGAATCATTAAAAAATGTGTTTTGAGCATAATATATCCTTTAACTAAAAATAATGAAAATATTAAATGTATATTTTGATCATTAAGACTCTTCCCAAATAAATCTGCTCATTATGCTCAACTTATTAAAGATGAGAAGATATTTATTCCAGTTAAATAATCACACATGGCTTTCCTTGGAGGGAAAATCCTCCATAAGAAATAGATGATTAGTTTTTAAAAAGGAATAAATTTAAGCAAGGAGGTGAAAGTATGATGCACTGAAAAATATATGACTTGATGAAAGAAATTAAAGATACAGTAAAGATACTTCATTTTCATGAACTGCAAGAATAAACATTGGTAAAAGTGGCCACTTTTACCAAACAGTGTGGAAGAGATCAGCAATCCAAGAAAACATGTAAAATTCACTCATAAGCAGTTCACAGAAAAGGAATACAAATCATTTGAAATCTGTAAAAAAGGCCTAAATTGATGACATTCTGGCAATAACAGTGAACATCAACATTTTAAATGCATAAAACGGTTGACTCAACAATTCTATTTCTAGGAGCTCATATGCAGAAAACTTCAAAATTTCATTGTGGAATTATTTAAAGTTGAAAAAGACTGGGGAAAACATGATGAAGGCCAGATGAATTAATTGCAATGTATTTTTTTTTAAAGAAGTTAAGTAGTAGGAGGAAACTAGACTGAGTTAGACCTATAGAAACTGGTATCTAAAAATATTCAGGAGGTTGAATAGTAAAAGGCACAATTTATACACTGAAAGAGAAATGCAAATATATGAAAATACCATGTGTTGTATTTGGAAGTGAAAGTCACTCAGTTGTGTCGAACTCTTTGTAACCCTCTGAACTGTAGCCTCCCAGGCTCCTCTGTCCATGGAATAATCCAGGCAAGAATGGTGGAATGAGTTATCATTGTCTTGTCCAGAGGCTCTTCCCAATCCAGGGATCAAATTTGAGTCTCCTGCATTGCAGGCAGATTCTTCACCTCTGAGCCACTAGAAAAGCCCAAAATTTATACACTGAAACATAAGCACAAATAAATATATAAAAATGCCCTGTATTTGCACATTTTTACTTGAAGAATCCTAGCAACAGAGTGCAATGACTGCACAGGAAGGACTGGGAGAATCTGGTATGGGACGGGGAAAAGTTTCACTCTACATTACTTCATTGTGTGTGTGTGTGTGTGTGTTTTCCCAGCACTTATATTTTTATTTAAAAAAAATTGAAATATATTAACTTTCCTATGCAAGATAAACAAAATTGAATAAAAAGGATATTTTCACAGAACTAAATATTTTAACCAGTACAATAAATAAAATGAAGGCAAAATAAGAATACAGTTAAAAATAAAAAAAAAGAATGAGAAAGCAGTAAAAGTATAAGCAGACATTAATTTAAAATCAGTAACTTTATGACATTTCATTGACAAATACAAATACATTACTTGTCATTTATTGACTCCTTACTGTAAATGCATCCTACTTTTCCAGATACAGTGATAAACCATGCAACAGACTGGTTCCAAATAGGGAAAGGAGTATGTCAAGGCTGTATATTGTCACCCTGCTTATTTAACTTATATGCAGAGTACATCATGAGAAACGCTAGGCTGGAGGAAGCATAAGCTGTATTCTTTTCCATTATAGATTACCATTGTTGCAGAAATTTGGCTTATGGACACTATTGCCAGATTAAATCTCTGGGACAAAATTTTTGGTAAAGTAGAAAGAAAAAGCTTTATTGCTTTGACTGGTAAATGGGACCACAGTGCACTAGTGCCCTCAAGACTGTGTTCCCCCCTTGGAGATGGTAGTGAAGAGCCTTACAGTGTTTGAGAAGCAGGGCTTTTGTAGCTCATAGACTTTCTTCTGATTGGTTTGTGTTGAGGTAATTGGGAGTCACATCATCAACCATCTGGTTCTAAAGTCTGCATCTTCTGGGCAGCATACAGTTAGCTTCTTCCACCTGGTAGGGGTTTCAGTGTCTGCAAAGAACATAGCTGAGAATCTTATGTATAGACCTAGAACAAGAACTAAAAGTTCTTGACTTTGTTTAATGGCGAAACTATCATCATTTTGTTTTTCTTGACTATTTTCCTTTCCTTCTGCATTTTCTTACTTCTCTGATTAAATTTACTCTTTGGCAGAGGTTTTCTACAGACAAAAGGACAGTGGTTGACATGGCCAGGAGTCTATTCTCGAAGGCCTCATGGGGTGCTTCTTTGTTATATCACTACCATTTTGAAAGAAAGACCATAATAGTTGGTCTTCTGTGAAAGAGAAGTGGTATAAGTTGAACTTTCAAAATGAGGAAAAAAATTGCAATGCTAAAGTACATGCCTACAGGTGATATAAAGCTAGAACATATTGACATCATAGTCTTGAAGGACAAACTAAACCTTTAAGACTGCAGAAAATTTTCTTATCTATAGACTTACACAAACCATAGTCACAATGTCTCATTTGAAAGAAAATAAGACTGATTTTTAAAGTAAATTGGAAGTTTATAGCTGAAACTTTTGAAAGGAAGCTGTGTTCCGATACAATAGCTTCCCATACATTTTACGGTGCAAGAAGAGTATTGTGAGTCAAGTAGATTAGTAAACCTCTCTTGGCTTCAATTTCCTTCTCTGTAAAGTGGGGATATTGATAATGGAACAACTAGTTTATTACATGTATATATAAACTGAGGTGAATGCACCTGATAGTTAAAGCGTTCATTTAATGTAAATATTAATATATATAGGAGGCCTACAGAGCAACAGCTTTGAAACCTAACTATGCTTTTATGTTGAGATTTGTGAAAAATGCTTAACCTTTTCCAAATGGTTCTTCAAGTTTTAGTATAGAAAGACAAAATGTTCCCTTTATATTCAAGAAACACTGTGATCCATGAAGTTAAGAAAATTAGAGCACATTAAGAGTAAATTCAAAATTTCTGGTTTATTTTGTATTCCAAAGAAGAACTAGAGATAGATTATGAATTATCTGTTTTTCCTTTTGTGGGTGTCTCTCTTTTTGCTTTTGGTAAATTCAAGGTATATTAAGAAAAAAAAAACTAAGCTGGGATTTCCACACTCAAATGTCCCTTCTCCATGTATCTATTGAAGAATTTCTGTCCCCTATTTGCTTTAACACAGACTAAGCAAAAAAGGGAAAAAAAAATTTTTGAGATCAAGATTTTATGAAAAAAAAAAAACACACACCAATTTCATCCAAGTAAATGAAGAATTTACTAAAGCAGCAGTAAGACTCTAGGGAAAAAAAAAAAACTTATTCTACAATCACCAAAGTAGGGGTCTATGTTTGTTCTTTCCATTGTCCAGTCTGAATCTATGAACACGAACACTGAAGCCTCAGTAAAGTGCAGCAAAATTTATGAATGTGCCTAAAATACACCTAGTCATTAAATCATCAATAAGTATTAGATTCTAGGTATTTATTTTCTGCCAGTGACCTGCAAATTCTTAGTATTCTTTCACAACCTACAATAGGTACAATCCTCCCTAGGTACACAAATGATACTAAATTGGCTCATGACTACTCTAAGTTATTCTCTTCTTCAACAAACTCCTCATGGCATTTTTAACCTCTGCATTTCTCACTGTATAAATAATAGGATTTAGCATGGTAGTGAAGATTGCAAAGAACACAGCCACCCACTTGTCTGTAGGGTAAGTGGCTACAGGGCGTAAGCGAGTTAATATACAAGGGACAAAAAAGCATACCACTACTGTAAAGTGGAAGCCACACGTAGAGAGGGCTTTGCGCCTTCCTTCAGAGCCATGGGATTTCTGAGAGCTCAATATGACTATATAAGAGACCCAACAGCACGGAGAAAATAAGCACTCACATGCCCCCACTGTTAGTTGCCACCACCATTCCGGGTCGGTAGGTGTCGCTGCAGGCAAGTTCCATCAGGGAGAAGAAATCACACATGAAGTAGTCAATGACATTGGGACCACAGAAGGTCAAGTCGACCATAAAGAGAATCTGCACAGTGGCATGTAGGATCCCCCCGATCCAGAACACCACCACCAGGAGCTGGCAGAACCCTTTTCGTATGATGGTCGTGTAGTGCAGAGGTTTGCAAATAGCCGCATGGCGGTCATAGGCCATGGCGATCAGAAGGATGATCCCTGATGCTCCCAGAAAGTGCTCCACAAAGAGCTGAGTCAGGCAGCCACCCCGGAGATGATGCAGCAGGTCAGTGATCAATTTGGGCGTGCTCACACAGGTGAAGAAGGCATCTAAGGACAAGTGAGTGAGAAAGAAGTACATGGGAGCAGAAAGCGTGGGACTGAGGGAGATGGTGATGACAATGAGTAAGTTGGCCAGCACAGTGAATAGGAAAATGAACAGAAAGACGGTGAAGAGTATTTTCTGTAAGTGTGGATTCTGCTTGAGTTCCAGGGGAACAAATTCAGTCACATTATTGGGCAGTGTAAGGATGTCCATTTAGGAAATAACCATCTTTCCTGGGCCCCTAATTACCTACAACGGAAAAAAGAGTGATACCTTTTAATCATGAAAAGATTGTGGTCTGAATTTCTAAGAACAAAAATAGTGCAGTCATTTTAACAATGGAGCATGTCGTTGGCAATTTTGTCCTAGTACTTCTTTCAAGTCTTCCTGCTTCTTACAGGATGGCTTTTTAGCTTCAGACACCTGTCCCCTGTCAACTGTAAAACATCTATAGGGGCAAGATCTGATGTGCAGTTTACTGAGAAAACACTGGGCTATCTGCATGAGACATGGATTTTCATTATGGTTCCAACTCCGTGTGCTGTCCTAAGTCATCGTAGTACTCCATGACTCCAGCCCTCATCTATGTCTATCATCTTACAAATCATAATTCTCAGATGTATCTTGTAAGTGCGGCCCACAAGTAAGAGTTATTTTCTCTTTCATGGGTATTTACATTTGAACCCTTTGCTCAAACTGTGGAAAGGAAGACAACATCAATAAATATCTGTCATAAACTAGATGTTTTGGGAAATGATTATAAGTCCTTGGTGACACATTCTGTCTGGTCCCTTTCAGAACTCACATACTATTCAAGTGTGTTTCCTCGCTTACCGTAGTGCCTGGCATAGTATCTGCAGTGCCTGAAACATACTAGATGATACTAGATGATGCATAAATACTTTGTGAATTGCCATTTTCCATGGATAAGAGTATGACTCTTCCCCAGAATGTTCTTGCTGCTGTTGCTAAGTCACTTCAGTCGTGTCCAAATCTGTGTGACCCCATAGACGGCAGCCCACCAGGCTCCCCCGTCCCTGGGACTCTCCAGGCAGGAACACTGGAGTGGGTTGCCATTTCCTTCTCCAATGCATGAAAGTGAAAAGTGAAAATGAAGTTGCTCAGTCGTGTCCGACTCTTAGCGACCCCATGGACTGCAGCCTACCAGGCTCCTCTGTCCATGGGGTTTTCCAAGCAAGAGTACTGGAGTGGGGTGCCATTGCCTTCTCCCAGAATGTTCTTACATTACAGTAAAAATCCACCTGCAATTCAGGAGACCCGGGTTCAATCCGAGGGTCAGGAAAATTGCCTGGAGAAAGAAATGGCGACCCCCTTCAGTAATGTTGCCTGGAAAATTCCATGGACAGAGGAGTCTAGCCGGCTACAGTTCATGGGGTCCCAAAAGAGTTGGACACAACTTGGCAACTAAACAACAACAACCAGACTGTGACCCTAAGGGGAATTAGTGCTCTTTTTCTCTTGCTCTGTTTGTTATTTTTCTCTACTTGATGAGAAACATAAACATTTGAAAGGCAGTGCTTTCTAGTTTAATAGTTTTTGACACCCTTTATGGGGTAAATATGAAAATAATTCATTGTCTTTGGGAAAGAATATATTATTGGATCATTTTACTCTTAAGATAATTATGGCATTTTTATTGATATTTTTATTCTCTAAAACTATGTTCCACATAAAATTTAGCATAATCATATCAGTCATATTCAGTCTAGCTTCTCTAGACTTGGATTGAAAAAAAAAATTGCATGAAGTTTTTCAGTACACAAGAATTTTTTTTAAGCAAAGGAAATCCTTATTTTCAGAGTTCTAAAAATAAAATGTAATATAGAGAACAGAACAAAATAGTCTTCTAGGTAAAACAGACAATGTACTACACATATAAACATGTACACACAGACTTGGCTTCCTAGGTGGCTCAGTGGTGAAGAATCTGCCTGCCAAAGCAGGAGATGTGGGTTCAATCCCTGGATCAGGAAGATCCCCTAGAGAGGGGAAAGGCAACCCACTCCAGTATTCTTGCCTGGGAAATTCCATGGACAGAACACCCTACAGTCTATGGGATCACAAAGGGTCAGACACACCTTAGTGACTAAACAATGGTAATACACAGACTAACAGAAACATATATAAAACCTTTTACTTGTGATAAGCACTTATTACAGTTCAGTTATTCAATAAGCATTCAATAAGCAGATTAGTGTGCATGTTAATACATATTGTTCACATAGTCATAAGGAGTGTCCCTGTTAAATACACTTAATGGCTGAAATTTCATTACCAAAGAGCAGCAAGGCATCCATCCATTATAAACATGAGTTGCCCACTCTTTATGTTTCTGCTACATGCATTTTCATGCTTTCTTCTCCTATCTTCCCAGAGTGCCCAACATCATCATTCCTGGTTACAGGATACTTCATTACTAAAAGAATGAGAAATCTGGGGGCATAACTTCTCAACAAAAAGAGATGAGAAAATATAAATGTAATGAACTATATTCTACAAAAAAATAAGTCTTCCTTTTCCAAGATAAACGGGTACAGAGGCTTATTGTGAAATCACCTAAATTAAATCTTATACATATGTGGACACAAAGTGCAGCAGTCTCACTATATTTCCTTATTCTGAGGTGGGATCCCCAACAGATCAGAAAATAGTGAAATGACATAAAGCAAGGTTTAGATGCAATTACCAAAAGCTTTTTGAAAATAACTAGGAAGAAGCAGAAATAACTTTTTCATATTTCTTTGTTTCCACAATACTCTTTCTAACAAATCCTATGGAAAATAGAGAAGAAATATTAATATTTACAAGTACGCTCAACATAGTTATTATGATCTGTGGGAAATTTAGAAATGATGTGGATTGTTCAACACTAGAGAAACAGATGATTACAGTATAGTGCATCTCTTTAATCAATGTGTAGTTTTTAACAGGTGCTTTTAAAAATTGTGAAATATCATACTAACATTCTGTAAAGTCAAGAAAATTGTAGATGCTCTTTTAAATTGTATAATTATTCCAACTAATTTAATTCTAACTAACTGCAGTATGATTCTAACTAGTTTAAAATCATATCAATACAAAGAGGTCCTGAGATATTTTTACTTCTAAGTTGGTGGCATCATACTTGAGTCTGTCATTCTTGATGTTTTATATGATGAAAAAGGAATCTCAGTGTCAGGTGAGGATGAGTGGTAATTATATGATTTGTTGGTTATATTTAATTCTCAGAGCCCATGATTATACAATTTCCTGGGAAAAAAAAAAAAAGACTAACCTGTGAACTTGTCTGACATAGGTTCCGGCAACAGTTACTTCACCAAGAAAGAAGCAAAATTGTAAACCAGCAAAATACCAACTATCTCAGCTACAATAAGCATATTTTCTGATTTATAAATGGTATCTTTGGATAAGCTTTCAAAGCACTTTTATATATCATGTTTGGGGGCAAATTCTGTAAAGTTTCTTAGCTGTGGCTAACAAGATCTCAGAGGTATTACATCATCATTAGAAGCTCTGCCAATGATTCAAGTATTTCAGGTAAGTTAACCTAACAGTGGAGGAGAAGTTCTATAGTATTCATCTTTAATTTTGAACTTTTCCTTGAGTCTACATGAAGGTCAAATGCTATAAGAGAAAAAAAAATTCGAATACTTATGAAATTAGCTTTTTTAGAACAAATGAGCTTAGTATGGAGATTGAATATTTAGTATTGTGTAAGTAAAATATCTAGGCAGTGAACTGAGTTTTTAATTTTTACTATAATATTTTAAATTGATCTACCAGGTGAGGGTGGGATGTTTCAAGAGAACAGCATTGAAACATGTATATTATCTAGGGTGAAACAGATCACCAGCCCAGGTTGGGTGCATGAGACAAGTGCTCGGGCCTGGTGCACTGGGAAGACCCAGAGGGATCGGGTGGAGAGGGAGGTGGGAGGGGGGACCGGGATGGGGAATACATTTAAATCCATGGCTAATTCATTTCAATGTATGACAAAAACTACTGTAATGATGTAAAGTAATTAGCCTCCAACTAATAAAAATAAATGGAAAAAATAAATAAATAAATTGATCTACCATCCAGGCCAGTCATAATTTTTAAATACTGCCTTCACATTTACTTTGAGTGATCAGTTCTAAGTCCTATTATAGTATTGGCACTTCACATCAGGTAAATTTTACAGTATTTTTTCAAAGTAGTTGTTTCTTGTGCCAATTCTGGATTTAGATTGACATGATAATGATGAAAATAATTTACTCTTCAATTGTATTCAAAGATGGTAAAACATATTTTTTCATTTAAATTTAATTGTACAACATCCATATGAAATTGAAAAAATAGGCAATAATATTGGCAATTTATAACAAGGAAATAGAAGATGGGGGATAAGAAAGCCATTTGCCAAGGGGAAATAAGATGCCAGTTCACTAGATCCTGGACCAGGCTCCTTATTTTTAAATTAATATTTTACAAGTAAAGTGACATTACATGTTTATGCTGCCACCAACTGTAAAGCTCAGTATAACTATCTACTGAAAGAAATCAGTACTAACATTTAAAATAATTTTGTAAATGAATGCAATACAATTTGACTCAGAAATATTCCTGCATAGAAACAGCCTCACTCAACATGTCCAAATACACTTTCATTAATAAGAAAAATAAATTGGACATAACTGTCAACTAGTTTCAGAGAATCTGGTCATTATGAGCAACATGTGTCACACAGGAAAAGAGTTTAGGAAAACTGAAAACTTGTGACTAAACCTAGTTTGACTAGACACATCCATATTATTGTGCTGTGATATTTGTGATTGCATATGCCAAAGGCAATCTGAATGAAGACTTGAAAAAAATAAAGAACTATAAGGGATATGGATGTTTTCTGAAGTGTTGTCATGAAAGTGTCTTGAACTTGTCTTTCAACTCTGGAATGAAAGCCAGAGTCATATCAGAATTAACATGTACTGACAAAGTCATTGTTCCCAACCTCATAAAGATTGATGTCTATTCAAAATGGCCCATTGAGTGATCATCCAGCTTCTGCTTAAATATCTACAGTGTGGTTAAAGAGACAACTTTAGAACCGCTATACCTGTCTAGTCCAGCACCCCAGGGCCTAGTCAAGCATGAAAAGGAAAAAAAGAGTAGCGTTAGCTCTAACTCTGTGAAGACTGTCCATAAAAATAATTATTCAAAGAGGACTTCCTGGAGCTATATCAGGAAAGTCATGTCTAGAATACAAATTCAAGAACAGAGTGATTAAAACCCCTGGAGAGATAGAAATACAGATTCTCAAACTTGAAAGATAAACCAGAAACAAAGCAGAAGAAATAACACATAGATTTTTTTTACTATAATTGATAAGAAACTAGGTGAGGTATGTTATGATGTTTGATATTTTCAGAGACTAATTTTACAAAACCACATACCTAACAAATTATTCTTATGGGCAGCTTCATTCATTTAAATACATAGAGAAACATGTTCTAAACATAATAAAACTTTCAAGATCACAAATCACATTAGTCTACTCCAAAAGACTCTCAACCCAGAAGGGCATTTCCTAAGTTGTTTACCAGGAATGGAAAAGTTTCTGTAGTTCGGCTGTGGTCTCAAAACTCTTCCAGATATACTTCTAATTGAAGTAGAAACAAATATAACAATTTTTGTGCCAATTATCATATTGTCATGGGCAGAATCACAGAATGCAGAAACAGTGTACCTAGAAAAACTATTTGCAGAAAGAGGAAAAACTGTTTAAAGAAGATGATGGTGTGTGTGTGTGTGTGTGTGTGTGTATGTGTTAATCACTCAGTCATGTCTGACTGTGAGACTGCATGGAGTGTAGCTTGCCAGGCTTCTCTGTCCATGGAAATTTCAAGGCAAGAATACTGTAGTGGGTAGCCATTAGCTTCTCCAGGAGATCTTCCCATCACAGGGACTGAACCCAGGTCTCCTGCATTGCACGTGGATTCTTTCCCATCTAAACCCCCTGGGAAAAGTCCTGGTGAAATAAAATTCCTGTATCCTAAAAATCACTGCAAATGGTGTTTGCTGCCATGAAATTAAAAGACGCTTACTCCTTGGAAGGATAGTTATGACCAACCTAGATAGCATATTCAAAAGCAGAGACATTACTTTGCCAACAAAGGTCTATCTAGTCAAAGCTATGGTTTTGGTCAACTAGCTATCTAGTTTGGTCATAACTTTTCTTTTCTTCCAAGGAGAAAGTGTCTTCTAATTTCATGGCTGCAGACACCACCTGCAGTGATTTTGAAGCCCCCAAATATAAAAGTCTGTCAATGTTTCCAATGTTTCCCTATCCATTTGCCATGAAGTGATGAGTCCAGATGTCATGATTTTAGTTTTCTGAATGTTGAGCTTTAAGCCAACTTTTTCACTCTCCTCTTTCACTTTCATCAAGAGGCTCTTTAGTTTTTCTTTACTTTCTACCATAAAGGTGGTGTCATCTGCATATCCGAGGTTACTGATATTTCTCTTGGCAAACTTGATTCCAGTTTGTGCTTCATCCAGCCCAGCATTTCTCATGATGTACTCTGTATATAAGTTAAATAAGCAAGGTGACAATATACAGCCTTGACATACTCCTTTGCCTATTTGGAACCCATCTGTTTTTCCATATTTAATTCTAAGTATTGCTTCCTGACCTGCATACAGAGCTCTCAGGAGGCAGGTCAGGTAGTCTGGTATTCCCATCTCTTTCAGAATTTTCCACAGTTTTTTGTGGTCCAACGACTATGCCAAAATGGTCAATAAAGCAGAAGTATATGTTTTTCTGGAACTCTCTTGCTTTTTTTGATGATCCAGCTGATGTTGGCAATTTGATCTCTGGTTCCTCTGCCTTTTCTAAATTCAGCTTGAACATCTGGAAGTTCACATTTCATGTATTGCTTAAGTCTGGCTTGGAGAATTTTGAGCATTACTTTACTAGCATGTGAGATAAGTGTGATTTTGCAGCAGTTTGAGCATTCTTTGGCATTATCTTTCTTTGGGATTGGAATGAAAACAGACCTTTTCCAGTCCTGTGGCCACTGGTGAGTTTTCCAAATTTGGTGGCATATTGAGTACAGCAATTTCACAGCATCATCTTTTAGGATTTGAAATAGCTCAACTGAATTCCATCACCTCCACTAGCTTTGTTTATAGTGATGTCTCCTAAGGCCCATTTGACTTCACATTCCAGGATGTCTGGCTCTAGGTGAGTGATCACACCATCGTGATTATTAGGGTCATGAAGATCTTTTTTTGTATAGTTCTTCTGTGTATTCTTGCCACCTTTTCTTAATATCTTCTGCTTCTGTTAGGTCAATACCATTTCTGTCCTTTATTGTGATCATCTTTGCTACTCATGTAGTGGGGAGGCTGAATCTTTCTATCAAAAGAAGAAACTATAAACACATTGATGACATATACACAGACTTGTATTTTAGTAGCCAACCTCATTTTGGAAAAGAGCTAAAATTCATTCAGAACAAAATTTTGTTTACCTGAGTAATTCTTTGTGCAATTTAAAAGTAAAGATCCCTGTGTTCTTTTTATATATCTCTTATAAATAGTCTCATAAAGCAGTTTTCAAGTAAGACTTCCAATTCAGGAAATAAGTATTATAAAAACTTTCTAATAAGTAAAGTGTTTTCCGTGTATGTTTGACTATGTGTTTTTGAAAAACACTTTCATTTGTTGGCTACAAATAATTGTTAACAAAACAGTGTAACTTCCTATGGCATATAAACAAAGAGTTTTTCACCAACCAAGCCATAATCAAACACCAGCCCTGAAGGGATTCTGTATAATGAAAACATTAGAGGATATGGAATAAAAGTATTCAGGCTCAAGGTTGACATGTGTTTTATGATCTAGTTATTTAATCTTTCTGATCCCCCACTGTTTTCTATAAAGTAAGTTCACTAAATTTTAATTTTATAATTTTTTTTCATTTGGAAACACTTTAAAATTTAGTTAACAGTTTATAATGCAATTAATTATCATTCATTATCATTAATTATTTTAAATATAAATATAATATATAAATATATATAAATATATTATATATTGNTCCCTCCTCCCTCCACTGTTTTCTATAAAGTAAGTTCACTAAATTTTAATTTTATGTATTTGTTTTATTTGGAAACACTTTAAAATTTAGTCATCAGTTTAAATATAATGCAATTAATTTTCATAATCACTGACAACTTTACCCAACAGGGCAAGAAATAAAATATAATTTAAATATTAGGACTATCAAGTGTGTGTCAAGAGAGTATTGGCAAGTATCTTCCTTCTATTTTATATTTCACATCATCATAAATACCAGTAAACCATACAGCTTTCTGAGTACTGACTACTTAAATCACAGGCATCTTATACAACTCTATAATGAAAAAGGAAAAATAAAACTTCTATTACTAAAAAGGAAGAAAGAGTCTGATGAAATGCTGTTTTTGGTGATGTCTTTTGAAGTGTTTGAAAGACTATCACATTTAAATTTAGGAGAATGCAGATCTAAATACTACCTCTGCCTATGTTGCAGAAGTCCTGTTAGAGTCATTGAGGGGTTTGGGAAAGTCTTTATAGTAATAAAAGATGAAAATATAAAGATCATGAAAATATCAAGATTACCTTTGCCTTCTCCAGGGGATCTTCCCAAACCCAGGAATTGAACACAGGTCTCCCTCATTGCAGCAGGATTCTTTACCAACTGAGCTATCAGGGAATCCCAATAAAATATGAACATATAAAGATCATGATAGAAATAAAATCTTCATATTAGCTCATCTCTTATTTGAAATTGTATTCTTATTTAATAACATTTTAATGACATTTTTCCCTCTATATTCCTTACTGTGTAGATAACAGTATTACTGGTATGATTTTACCCTTGGGAAAAGTAATTACTGGTTGCAGATACATAAATATATAGGTTACAGAGAACAAGACAACAACTCTGATGTGGAAGCCACAGGTAGGCAGGGCTTTGTCCTCCCTGTGAGTCCTCAACATGCACAGGAACAACACACAGAATATCAGTGACATTACAAAAGCATTGACAAGGAGTGCCAACACCAGCAGCAACCAAGAAACCATCAAAGAAAGTGTCAGTGCAGACATGGTGTATTGGGGGAAATTGTCACACATGAAATGGTCCATGATGTTGGGTCCACAGAATGGGGCCCAGAAAATGACTAGGTTCTGCACAGCCAATTGGAGAAAACTCATTGCCCAACACACCTCCACCAGGAGGAAGCATCTGCGATGGTTCATGATGGTGACATAATGCAGATATAGCACATACACACTGCAGATGACCACTTATTGGTCATAGGCTATGATCAAAAAAGGACAATCTCTGAAGCTCCCAAGAAATGTTCAATGAAGAGCTGTGCTATGCAGCCCCCAAAGGAGACAGTTTTTGAATCAGAAAGCAAATCAACTATCATTTTCAGTGTTATGAAAGGGGGATAGCAGGCATTTATCAAGGACAGGAAGGTCAGGAAGAAATTCAACAGGGAGTTCAGAGTCTAGCTGCAAATTATAGTCACCACAGCAAGCAGGTTGCCCATGACAGTAACAATGTAGGTGATATATAACATAAAAATAGAATTCTTTGTATCTGAGGATTCAGGGTAAGTCCCATTGGAATGACTTTAGTCACACTCATCTTGTTTTATTACATTTGAGTGCTGTTGATGAATTCAGAAGTGGAGAACTGATCTGTAAAAACAAAACTTTTAATAGCAAAGAGATGAGAAATTCATATTTTGGGTTTTTGGGTAAGTCCAACACATTTTAATAATAAATGATATTTTTTCCTTGGTGTGTAGGTGGAGAAGAAGCACACTACCTTTTCTATTTTATAGGAAGAGTAAATTTTCAAGGCCATTTAATTCAGCTTATTACAAGGATTCTCAGGTCCTCCTTCCACACCTTCTGACAAGTGCTCCCTGATTCTTTGCTGGAGGACACCCAGGCCCAGGTGCTCATCATGTAATAAACCTGAGAGTTTCTCAAGCAAGAAAAAATGTTAAAAACACTTCCTTAAAAGTTAAAATACATTGTACAACAACTGGATGTGATCTGCATACCATTTATACACAGTCTAATTTACTCCTTTCTTCCATGTAAAAGCACTTAAATAAGTCTGAGATATAGGCCTGTATCTGCCATCACCTCTTATCAATTATCACTTAAATCAAAGTCTGACTCACACTGTTGTTCAATAAAATTAGGTGAATAAATTAGGTTGGAAGACTCTCCCCGTGTTTTCTTTTTTCAAGCCAACTCCAAAAATGGTGCTTACTCTCTTTCTTAAAAAGACAAAACAAACAAACAAACAAACAAAAAACAATTAACTGAGGCTGCACCTTTTGGATGGGCCTTCTGGGTTCCTGAGATCTCTCTCTCTCCCCTTGATCTCACAGGCCTTATTGTGGTAATGGCTTCCTACTGGAGCTGGGTCCTTGATGGTACTATATTATCCCTTATTAGTTTCCCATAATTCTATCCATAACTTAATAGGTTATCATGTTAAACTATTTCAATTTCCCATTTTAAGTATCTTTTTTTTTCTTGTCAGTTTTCCAATGGGTGTAGAAAGTTTCTTTGCAGATGGTGACTGTAGTCATGAAATTAAAAGATGCTTGCTCCTTGGAAGAAAATCTTTGACAAACCTAGACAGCATATTAAAAAGCTGTGACATTACTTTGCCAACAAAGGTCCATATAGTTAAAGCTATGGTTTTTCCATTAGTCATGTATGGATTTGAGAGTTGGACCATAAAGAAGGCTGAGCACCAAAGAACTGATGCTTTTGAACTGTGGTGTTGGAGAAGACTCTTGAGAATCCCTTGGGCTGCAAACAGATCAAACCAGTCAGTCCTAAAGGAAATCAATCTTTAATATTCATTGGACGGACTGATGCTGAAGCTGAAGCTCCAATACTTTGGCCACCTGATGTGAAGATCTGCCTCATTTGAAAAGACCTTGATGCTGAGAAAGATTGAAGGCAGGAGGAGAAGGGGATGATAGAGGGAGATGGTTGGATGGCATCACCAACTTGATGGACATGAGTTTGAGCAGGCTCTGGGAGATGGTGAAGAACAGAGAAGGCTGGAGTTCTGCAGTTCATAGGGTCTCAAAGAGTTGGACACAGCTGAGTGATTGATGGAATTTCATCATCTCTACTAGATTTGTTGGCAAGAATTGAGATCCTTAAATTAGCTCCTGAATTTATCTAATTATCAAAAGATCTGTTCCACCAGTTCCCCTGGAGCACTGAGTGCCTCACTGAATTCCCCTGAATCCCCCTCAGGGTGTGTTGAAGGTCAGCAGCTATAGCAGCACAGGATTCAATGTCCACAGAGGCAGATGGCAAATGCTCTTTTTGTTGTTCAGTCATTGGCAAATACACTTGGTGTATTCAGTTACAGTGCTAATTTTAATTTGACAGTGCTATACCATCCCTTATTGGTTTCCCTCAACATCATCCATATCTTGATAAACTATCATTTTAAACTCTCTAATATCTCACTTAAAATATGCTATGTCTTTTGTGTTTTCCAATGGAAGAAGGAAGTTTGTGTTTTATTTCTTTGTAAAAATAAATAAAATATGTGAGAAAATATATTCCCTTTAACAAATTTATTTTATTTTTAAAGCATCGGTACTTCTTTTGATAAATAACTGCTAAATAAACTTAACTTTGGTCAGGAAAAATTATCCTGAAAGACTGATACATAACATAAAGATTATTGGGTGTCTTCATGAAATCTATGTGTTACCTTTAGCACTGTCATGGAGTTAGATGATTCTATGGAATTCATACATTGTACTGCCTTTAGCTAGTTTATAAATCAGTAAGTTATAGAAGAGTAGTAAAAATTCAAACAATTCTATTCATAAAAATGAAAATTTGGGGTTTATATTTATTTGATTTTCCTTACCACTCCAGTTAAAAACAATTTTGCATCTATTTTAAATTCATGACACTTCCCTAAATGAACAATGTAAAGGTGGATTTTCCTTTTGACTGATTGTATGACTCTAGGCAAACCTGATAAACTTAAAAAGGTAATATGATATCCCATTTGGGGAAAAAGTAAGTCTTGGTTATTTTTCTGTACATGCATCATATTCAATCAATTTTTTTAAATTAACATCCTAAAGATGATTAATATTACACACTGTAATGTTCTTCATCAATCTTATCATACTAAGAAATAGAAACGAAATAATATGTGTAAAGTATCTTGCAGATTAAAAATTTAAGTCATATAAATCAAATATTAATATGGGCTGTCTTTGTGTGAAGAGGTCTAAACTGAGATTTATATAATACTTCTTAATCTTTTTTTTCCTGAAATCTGTAATACACCTCATTAATTCTGAAAAAGATCACATTATTTAAGAGAAAAGTATGAGAAAAAACTTACACTAAATAAATAAGTTTGCAATATTAACTATGACTTAACTCATTGTGTCAGGGGAGTGTGTAATTTCATTAGTTCTGCCTCACCACAGCAAAGATTGAAAACTGCAGACCCAGTGTTACAGCTTGGTTACAGCTCAGAGTTTTATTCAGCAACTAAAGGAAAGTATACCCTGGATGTGTGAGGGCAGGCTATCCCAAAGGAAAAGTCGCAATCTGTCTTGGCTTCCTTTTTATACATTTTGTCTCCTCCCCCCTGAGCCTGCCCTATGCAAATTGCACTAGCCAAGAAGTGGGTGTGTTTGCTTCACCTGATGTTCTCACTCTGGTCCTGTGGATTTTCTTTTGTTCCATTTTTGCGGGCTTTTCCTTGTCTTTTAGCCACTGTCATTTTGGACTCCTTTTTCCTATTTTAACTACCTAGTAATCATATAGAACATAAATATATAGGTTTAATAAAGTCATTATATGCCCAAAGCTATACATATTTTCCAAGCAAATTGTGTAAATCTTAAAAACCTATTTCAAGCAAAATATAAATTTTGAAATAAGAAGTCATTAAAATGTTAAAATTATATTTTGATCATGGGAAATATTCAGATAATAAATCTTTTCATCACGACTAATAATCCTGAGGAGATATTTACTGCAGTTAAATAATGACACAAGGTGTTCCTGGAAGAGCAATTCTTCACTGAAAATTGGTCATTCATTTTCCTGTTGCCTCATGTTCTTTTTCTGATCCAGAGCTTTCCCATGGCATTTTGCATCTCACTGTTTCTCAGAGTATAGATTAGAGGGTATATCATAGGGGTGATAATGGTTTAAAACAGCTAAGGATTTATCAGTGGGTAAGATGGAAGCAAAGGAGAAAAGGAAAGATATTCCTATTTCAATGCACAGTTCCAAAGAATAGCAAGGAGAGATAAGAAAGCCTTTTTCAGCGATCAATGCAAAGAAATAGAGGAAAACAACAGAATGGGAAAGACTAGAGATCTCTTCAAGAAAATTAGAGATACCAAGGGACCATTCCATGCAAAGATGGGTTTGATAAAGGACAGAAATGGTACGGACCTAACAGAAGCAGAAGATATTAAGAAGAGGTGGCAAGAATACACAGAAGAACTGTACAAAAAAGATCTTCATGACCCAGATAATCA